TGAGAATATACCCAAATTTCATAAGATCTGAAAAAAATATTGTGATGTGAAAAATTTGTATTGTTTTAATTTAGTTTATTTTTGGGCCTCCATAAAGACTTACCATATCGACTATCGTAAATTAAAATATAATATTAATCTCAAATTATTTTTGTTCTGACATATTCAATTACCTGCCCATTGAGGTTATTTAACAAATTTTTCCCCGGGATTGAGATAACTTTGAAAACACGGACATGTACACACAATTTTATCTACTGTGTTGTCCGTATTATAGCCATAACCTTATAAGTTACACAAACATGCCGTTCCCACAAATGACGTACAGGTTGGTATTCAGAAATCTTTATTTTATATCGTACCAATGCCATGACATTTGAGACTAGATCAACCTCGTTTGCCCTGTTGTGGATTGATCAAATCTTGGCCATCGTTAAAATGTGGAACATAAAAGAACTTACCAAGAATTATCATTGCTTGGAACGTGCGTTATAAAAATACTTTATAGTAAATTGATATGCCAGATCACAATCAACGATATCCATCGCAGTTTTATTTCATTTCAGATTTAGTCTACTTTATTTTAGTACTACTTTTATTTATTCTAGGTGCGTTAGAATTTGTTTCATTAAATTCAAAAGAAGCATTCGTAGAAGTATATTAGAAGAGTAGAGTAGGGACATAAACAATCAGACACTTATATACCTAGGAGTTGATACATTTTGTCCGTGTGGAATATTTCGGGACATACCATGTTATTGCACCATGACGGGCATGTTACTTCAAAGAGATACCTTCATTTAATTTTACATTAAAAAGTCATTTGGAAATATTGTCTTAGCTTTTGAAGTGGCCCGCTGCAAACGTCCTAATGTATCTAGGAAATGTTGTACAATCATTTACTGGTCTGGATTCTGGAACACTGGTTCTCATTGTAGCTGCAACTTGGCCCCACATTGTTCTTTTCGCAAACTATCAGGTTAGAGATCATTGGTTCGCACCCCCTATACCACCGATTCACAAACTTTTGTATCTATTGGCACACTCATATAAAACGTACTTATCACTAAACAAAGTTCCCTGAAATCGGTTTTGCGGTGAATGTGTCTTATTGAGAGTAGATTTGAATGAAGCAAATATCCACCGTTGCCAAGCATAGAGCACGAGTATTTCATCTTCAATTTTAGCACGATTTTTTCATTTCTTAGTTTTTAATTTCTGTCAGAGCAGAAAATTCATATTTGTGGAAACATGAAAGTCAAATGACAACGCTATTTTAGGGCTTGAAACTGAGCATTGAATATAATGATATAATGTGTAAGGTGAAACATACAAGAGATAAATTCAAGCAGATTTAGTTGAATATTGAGCGACAGAAAATAAATATTTGAAACTTTAAATGAATAATACGATATTTGATCAGACTAAACACAATTACTTTCGGTGGCGTACTTAGAAAATCTTCACCGCGCAATAACGTGGCGCGAAATACCGTTCAAAAAGGCTGCCATACGCGCGAAATTTAATTTAAAAAATACGACAACGACAGCGCGCTCGCTACATACAAAGTTTTCGATTTGGATAACAACAAGTGTACAGGTAATTATAGTTCAAGAACGATTTTTTACCAAATAACAACTCACGAACGTAGCATCGATCTGGAAAGCACATTTAAATCGGCGTAATACCGCCAAATTTCTGGCTCCTTGTGTGTTTTCACGAACTGACCTATTAATAGATGAAATGCTACGTACTGTCTTATTTGCAAAATGCAAAAAATAAAGATAATGTAATTGAAGTGAAATGCCATTTTTACGCCAAAATATGAGTCAATTCTAAACTTAAACAGGCGATGAACGCCGCGACGTTGATGTCAAACGTTTAATATTGTTTGTGAGCCACAGAAATATTAGTACGCCAGATAGAAAATAATTAACAACCTAGTATTTAAAGAATTAGAACACCAGAAGAGGAAATATCATACTTTTTAGCTACGTGATTGGAGTCTATTACAGAAGTTGTCAAATGAATATGTTATCACAATATCGGTTTGTGAGCGAGGAGGGCCTTAAATGTCGATTGGGACGATCCATATTCTCCATTCATAATCATAACGTTTCCTGCTTCGGAATTTGACCCAGCCTATAATTTTGAATCAAAATGCGAGTTAGTCGTTATGAAGCAGTCTGTTCAAATTGATATTTGTAGTTCCACTTTAAATTAATTGAGAAGTCAATACCGACTGCTAAATACATTAGTTTCGAAATTTGTTCACTTTTCATGATTCGAATTGAGACAATAAATTAATTTAATTGTAATAAAAACGTCTGTGGGGTAGACATATAGGCCGGAAATACAGGAGAAATTCACTACTGTAAATATCATTAAATACACGGTCACATTCTAATACGTCGATGGTACCTGTCTGTATCTCAAAATGTGCTTTGTGGCTTGTTATATTTTAAAAATTTGCCAGCAGCAACTTTTCTAGAACTGTCTATGAGAACCGTACCCCTACAAAATCTACTTCCATATCGAATAAGTTTAATTGCATTCTCTTCATTCGTTAGTCGGCTGGTGATGTGTATTATGATGTTTAGTGATGTAAAACTTACTTCATTATATGCAATATATAAAAGTATTTTTATTAAGCTGTATTACATTATTGATGGAACCAATTCCAGTTTATTCGAACAGAAGTTGAAATAAAAGGTATATAACTGCTGTGAAGAAGTATTAACAGGAATATATCTCGGGGGCACTGAATATGTGTCAATATATCTGTGATTGAAGTCTATTTAGTAGTCGAGTGAAAATAATTAGACATAACGCGCATACGATATATATAGAGTTCTACGGGAAGATAACATTTTTGAACCAAATACGTAGCAAACTTAATGTAATGTGGAAATAGGAAAAAAGAGCATGATCCCATAGGCATATCCGCTACGTATTGCATTCAGTTTTCAAAACGTTCGATCACTCATTCCAGCCTGAGTCTCATGTTACATTTATAGCGTCATCAAACAATAATTTGAATAAGTTATTATGCAAATCGAAACAAACAACGCGTTGTGTGAAATATTCCATACCCACTCATCTGTATATACAAAGTATGCATTTATAATCAAATTTAATCCTCATTAAGCAATCTTCTCAAAATGATTTCGCGTACTTTTGTTTGGCTTGAGTGAAATGTAATTTTGCTAATCTACGTAGGTTCTTTTGATATGTTTGATTTCATAAGAAATATTTTTATTCAACTCAGCTCGATGGCCCAATTGAGTGCACAAGCTGGCGGTAATTGCATATGTGCCCTTTAATTTCAGATGGTAACATTTCATAAACATTTCAAATTTTTAGGCTGATGCATCCTTTTAAAAACAAGCTAATAAACAATCAATTAAATCAAACATTGATTTAAACATTTATCGGACTACAAAAACAACCTACTGCCCAAAATCCAGATCAATTTTTACACAAAATTGACTAAAGTTCTTTTTGCGCTTTTACTAATAATAGATTGATTCTGTATTGATATTGGATCGGAAATGAGTAATAAAGCTTTAATTAACAATGTAAAGTTCAAATACGTGCTTGGCCAGATTTTAGAATCCGATCGTAAGATGGACATAATTCGTATTACGAATGACGTTGTAATGATGACTAAGAGACAAAAATATCAAAATATTTCGTTTTGGTCTGGAACCTTGCTTTTGATATTGATACATCAAAATTTTATTTACGCTTGTACTCAAAACGTGAACACGTCAATACTAAGATATTGAAACGTACAAAATAATTTTTAAAGAATACATTTGGGCGCTTAGCAAAAGCATCACGCACGTCATCAAGCGCGATGCCAGTCATGAATAAGACAGCGATTCATGACGCAATAAAATCGTTCGCTTCCAAAATAAGAAGCATATGGTGATGTTTTTATTATAAACTTGTTATTTTAGTGTTATGGAGCATATGACAATATGCATGCGGAACAAAAGGTTAGCAGAAGAGTAACTCAGTAATAAAATATTACACTTGGAAGGTTAGGAAAGATAGTCGGAAATATTATTATGTGAGCAATCGTAATAACACAGTTATAACAGATTATTCTTATATATTTATGCCATTTGTAATTATTTTAAAATGGAAATTCAATATTTCATGACATAAAAATATTACTCTTATGTTTCTTAAAATATTTCGTTTGTTTGTGCAATTCATAGTAAGGGCAGGCAGCCGGACCGAAAATCTTGGCACAAATTACAACTGCGTGCCATTAAGAGTTGGAAATGGTATTCGTCGCACATCCGTTTTTGAATTACCAAATCTTATACATTATGAGGGCAATACTTACGAGATCCTGATGACACATAAGCGACAATCCTAATTTTCTAATAAGTACTTAACGCCAAAACTTAAACCAGTTCATCATGCTATTGAAAACGGCCAATGGCTGGGAATTGCTGTTCTAGCTCTAAAGTGAAAGTAATTTGCTAATCCGTAAGTATTTTATATATGCAGCAGAAATAAGTCAATAAATGCCTACTAGCCGTGTTCGCCATACTGAATTCTGTATCATAGTATTATGGTTAAATATTTCTAGGTAAAGGACTGATGCTAAATCTGCTACAATTTGTATATTTAGATATATAATATGCAGGATATTGATATCTAATGAAGAACTTCGTAATATCTTATTACTTTTTATTCCATTAAAACTAAATTTTTCGCTGGAATTTGACTAAGAAATCGCAAACACAAGCTTATGTGAGAATAGGAATATGTAAACAGAGCCCAGAGAGCGGGCTTGATAAAAAAGTGTTCGAAAGAAATCCAAAAAGCGAAGTTAATATGAATAAATAACAGATAATTGTATTTATTTAATTCTACAGATTAATTCCACTTTATAGGAAAGTATTCGTTCAGATTTTAGTTTTGGCTTGTAGTCACATTAACGTATTCTTTTCCTTTTACAATGTTTACTATTTTAGTGAAAACTGGTTTATCCTTATCACTGTAAAATATGAAAATGTTTATTAGGTTATGTTTAATTGTTGCCCTTTTGGAATCACAACAACTATGTATACAAGCACAAAACGGGGTAATTTCGAACACTGATATGTTGGAATCAAATAGAACTCAAACTACCTCTACAACCTATGTTACCACAACATTCGCCTCAAAAAATATAAAATCAACAAAGAAGACGATAACTGGACAGAACAAGCTCGCAAACAGCACAAACAAACCGATATCCGTAACCTCGACAAGGACTAAAAATTCGACAAGACACAAATTCCAAAACTCCACAGAAGCAATATATGTTTTTGAACGCTGGCATTGTTACGACACGCATAAGCCAAATTCATCAGCTCTTGATCGATGTTGCCGGGCGGAAATGCGACGTTACGAATCAAGGTGGTCAAATGGAGGCTATTACCTGACAACCATTTTAGACCGACTGCAGAGATGGGGATGCTACCAATTTGAATATGAATGCAAAGAACCAACGTGGAATTTTTCTGAATACACATCTCTCATATACGATAGATTTTGTAACCACACTGTTTTAGAAGAGAAATGTGTGAAAACTGTTCAACAAGTTGTTCAAAGTTATGGTTTTATTAAACCCCTACCTCGTAAAAACAAAATTACTGAAGCGAGATGGCTGGTACTTGCCGAGTCTCTGACTTCATCGGAAATGCATCTTCGAGATTTAGTCAAACCTTGCATCCAAGTTGCACTTTTCGACAAAAAAGACGGCGGAGTTGGAAGGTTTCATGAAATCGTTGAAGCTTATTTTCCCTTCTGCGGAATACAATGGAATGGATACGATTACGACACGGCCATGTATCGCGATGTTTCCCCGTGGACTGGAGCTTCATTGTGGTGAGTCCTAGTAAAGCATGTGATATCGAAGTGTCGTACGAGAAAGCTAATAACAATATCAGAAAACTAAACTTCTAATATTTATAAACAGACAGTGTCTTATCCTGTTTTCTTTTGTCTATTTTTCTCTTATAAAATATATATTGCAAATGGTCGCACTAATTCGATTTTAAAAATGTTTTATCTTTCAGGTGCAGAGGAACCATGACTATTTTCCTTGTTATGATGGCGATTGTTGGGTTCACAACACTAATTGCAAACATTGTGATCTTGGGTGTATTTGCAGTCACACCAAAATTAAGAAATAGTCAGTCTATATACAAAATCTCTCTTGCAATTGCAGATTTATGTGTTGGGCTTGTTATCTGGCCAAATATGATTGCTATGCAATATTTGACGTTTTTTGCACCAAGACAAATGGGAAGAATTGTACCTCATCCGTCCACAGCAGAAAATGACACATGGGTCGCACATTTTCCCTTCGGTAACAACAGTCTTGTTCATCGTTTTCCCGGAGGAACGTTTGGACAAAGATTTCCTCGCCCTTATATTGTTTTTACTGGATTTTTCACTATATTAGTTTTGTTTGTATCTATCTACACATTGATGTGGGGAAGTTTCGACAGATTTTGGGCAGTTTTTCGTCCTCTCAGATACAACAAACATAACGCAAAACGTCAGGCCAAAATTGCATGTGCAGCACTATGGGGAGTGTCAATTTTTCTGGCTGTTTTGCCTACGTTTATCAAACAAATCCAATATAATGTTATTTCATCCTTATTTATTGCGTCATCTGGATTAACCTCACTCGTTTTACTGTTCTTCGGTTTGTTACTTCCTTTGGTAATAACTTGGATCGTGACAATTTTCACGTTCGAAACGTCGAAAAAACACGCAAGAAATCGTGAGAGAATTGTCTCGAGTTCTTCCAACTCTGACGCATTGGAAAGGCGACTTGCTCGAACTTTGTCACTTATGGTCTTAGTTTTTACAATCTGCATTCTACCCGCAATGGCTTGTATCATTGCCGGATTTATATTGCCTCAAACGGCAATGAACGACCCCAAAGATTTGAACGTTCCAGTTGAAAGGGCTTACACCTCAGCAGAATACATTTCAGTCATCTTATTGACATCAAACAGTCTATGGAACTGCTTTATATACAGTTTGAGAACTCGTGGATTTCGCGAAGCATCAAAAAAGCTATACGAGGATTTCCTGGAGAAGACAAAACTAGGATATGTGCGACGTGGTGCCTTGTACGTAATTCAAGGAGCTCGACGAGTCAGCTTGTCGTCACTGTATCAAATGAGAAAAATGAGTAACGTCAGCACGTCTGACCTGCGAAAAAAGAGCGTAACATCATTATCGACGAATATAACAAAGATTTCAGAGACGGGTTCGTCTGGACCACGACCAAGCGTAGATATGACTTCAACGTCAGTGTACATTGGTTCGTCTACCAATTCAAATGCTTATTCCGCCCAATATAAGAAAAAAGACAATAAAGGAGGCAGAAAACAGTCTTCGGCTGGAATAGTTGAACTAAGAGTCGAACGCAAGAAACAACAAAAGGAAGAAGACAACGAAGCGTATGTTGGTGATGATTCTACATTTGGATCCTTCGCAATCGATACAGGAGCTGATCGATTCTTCCATTCTGTTATGGAAAACGTAGAAGAACAAGTTGAAGAAGAGGAAAATGCTGAAAAGAAAACTTGAGTGAAAACACGGAGAAATAAAAATCTGAATTTCATTGTCAGCTTTGAAAAAAGAAAAAATACGATTTGAATTCACGGGATAAACACCAAGCAATGATGCTTATAAATTGCTCGATGATAAAACAGAATTTCCAGTTTGAACGGGTACATGTACGCGAACAAACATTAGGTAATAACATAAAGTGGAGTGATTGGAATCATTATTTTCGTAGGCAAGATCGCAGAAAGCGATAAGTACTTTGGAAGATAAGATATTTTTGTAAAGCTTAATTTGTAAAACCGTTTTGAAATAACTTTTAAAAAAAGAGAAATTTTTTTTTAATATGCATGGAAGTTATTTCGAAGCAAAGTTACCGACAGTTGACTAACAAAGAAAGGTTGGATATATAAAAGATACATAATATAGATTATATATTTTTTATCAGTGTTGCCAAATATACCGCTTGCCACAGGTTCCCAATCTCATGGCGCCTTTACTCTCTTTTGGTCTTTGAGTCTTGTACATTGGAATTCATATTTGAGGAAGTATTTTACAATACAGATGTATATATTTATGGTATTATCTTTATTATTTATATTGATGAAAGCGGCTACTAATCGATAAGGATTCATTTTTATAATTAAATACCCAGTATATCATTGTATTGTCCGTAAAGCATATCGTGAATATATATTACAAAGTTGGTTCAAATTGAAACAAAACGTAAAATATGAATTATACAGGATTTGTGTGTTGGAGAATGTCAAAATTTTATGACGTGAGAAATTGTGCATTTTCATGATTTTGCTATATATGCAGTTGATTTAATGAGTTTCTGATTAAAACAAAAATATTAAAGTATTGTCTTTAACTATGTTTCTTGCACTGTTTGATTACTATACACTGTTATCGAAGTCAGTATAATTACGGTTGTTTACAGAAGCATTCAATTTCTCTCGTAACTCCTGATATATACTTATTGTTTTTGCTTTGAGATAGCACCTAAAAGTAATTATCCATTGACATCTGGTTGAACTTTGCTAAATTGTTCTATTAGTGGGAATAATTTTGTGTCCTATATAAATATTTTGTTTCTCGTAGGGGTGTGTCTAGAGGGAGGGGCGAAGGAGTCCCGGGCAGCACGTTATTGGGGCGAGTTTGTTGCGTAGTTTGATTATTTAAATATTAAAACACAAACATTGCATTTATACTTGACCTTTGATTTATTTATTTTCGTGTATAGAAACATATATAATTTGTTTTTTTCACAAATTTTGAAGTTAAGCATATGGGGCTGCATTATCAGAAACTCTCCCCGGACAGCAGAAAGGTTTGACGCGCCCCTGCCCGTAGCACAGTGGTCCTACTATTTAGGGTAATCATTTCTGTTTTTTTTTTTTTATGGAAGTTTATATGTTTTCTGTTGTGGTTGACGAAAGACACGACCCTGGACGAAATGAATACATAAAAAAATCTTTTATACTATTTGGATTATACTTGACTGTAAGCCATGTTTATATTTTTCTAATCTCGTCCTCAGATCCTGGCGTATTTTTCCATATTGTACATATTTCTCACAGATTCATCAGGTAAATTGGTTGGTCTGTATTCAGTAAAATCGGCTTGTGGCAGGTGCAATTTTCAATTCATTTATCGCAAACAGTTCTGGAAAGAACTATGCCAACAGCACAAAGTTTTTTTTTATGGAAATCATATAAACAAGAACAGGACTCAAATAAGTGTACAAAGTTCTAAACAATAAATAAAACACTGGCCGAATATAGGAACAAGTAGTCGCAAGCATATACTCTGACTAAAACCGAAAGGCTATTTTTAATCTATATCAAAACAATAATCTAAAATACATAGATAGACTACATTGTAACTATTGGGTCACACAGTAATGTACAGTTGACTGGAAACTATTGCGTAATAATAATAATAGTAATATTATTATTTAAATGAGAGATATGCTCAAATATGCGACCACGGAGAGCAAAACGAAATATTTTATCACCAATTCCCCGAAAATCATATGCGGTAGCTTAGCAGAACCTGTATCTGGTTGCCGTAACACTTTTACAAGTCCTGTGACGATGATCATCTATTCTTCATAATTCCATTTCTAGCGAAAAAAAAAATCTTGAACCATTGAAAATTTCTAAGCAATTGGTTCAGTAATTGGAGAGAAAATCAATTTTTTCATAACGATAGGAATAATAATAATAATAAACAAGGGAGCTATGCTCAAATATAGTAGACGCGGAGGGCAAAACAAAATAATTTATAACCAATTCCCCGAAAATCATATGCGGTAACTTGTCAGTACCTGAATCGAGGTACCGTGACGATACATGGACTGTCTTGCGACGATGATCCTTTCTTCATAATTCAGTTTCAACGTGAATTGAAATACCAAGTGATCCGAGTATCTATCTCCTGGTCAGGTACCGCAGTCTACCATTCCCCATACAAAACTTCCCAATATCACATGCGGTAACTTACAAGTACCTATATATATATATATAGGGGTGACGTAACGGTATTGGACACTCATATCTTTTCCGGGCCCTGTAACGATAATCCATTCTTCTTGATTCAGCTTTAACGTGAATTGAAATACCAACTGATCCGAGTCACTTTGTCCAAATCAGCCGGCGCCATTTTCATAACGATAAAATTCTATTTCAAAGAACAACAACAACATAATAACAAAACGATTCATAGTTACACTACGTGTTCAAAAAGAATAATTAGAACCGTAAATTACAATCCTGACAATCCAAATCAACTCATAATAAGCCCGGCTAAGTCCTCCTTGGGCGAAATCATTGAATGAACCACAAGCGCCGCTAATGGCGAATAGCCCTTTTTCGTGTTGATATCATTGTTGTGAAAAAATCGTTTTTCCATTTGACTACTGAACAAATTGCTTTGGAACTTTCAGTGGTTGAAGATTATTGTTTTCGCTAGAAGCCTATTACTTTTATTTGATCCCAAATATCCTATCAATAATATGAGATGTGATATTCCACCCAACATTTTGCAGTGGAATTTTCATTCATGGGAACACGGTTTTTATTCCGCCAAGCGTGACGACTGCCTTCCGCTCTGACCAAAGTGACAATAGTCACCTTGGCTCTGACTTTCGAACTCGTGCTACGCGACAATCGAAGTTTTTCTATACCGGAAACGCGCAGTAGACTAGGTACGTTAAGTTAAAGTACTGTAACATATCTGATACTACAGTTGTGAGGCGAATAATTTGGTATTTTAATACAAATTTGCACAATACGCGTAAATCATCATCGTCGCACGACGATGGTAAAGCTAGGATAGTACGGGTACTACCAGTATATGATTTATTTCGTGTTGGTCTTCGTGTGCAACGTTTGTACCTATAGTATATGCGAATTCCAGTGCCTGTTAGTAATCATTGGAATTGGAATCATTCGAATAATAGACTCATCAAAGTTTTAGTTCACGAAATTTTTAAAGATTCAAGAATAATTTCCTTATTGGACACGAAATGTTAGAAAGATAAAAGACGAACTTATAGGACATTCAAATTTCTCCACTCCTGATTTTTTGATGGAAATGTATGGGCGGTTACGCAAAATATAAAATACTATTTCTCGGTAATTGCCGGGTTTCGGGAATGGTGACCAAGGTTTTCTAATAAGGGAAGTGACTCCCTTAAAAACTCTTGCTTCAAATTTCGGGTACAAGTTTTGCACACTAGATCGGCCACAGCAGATGCATTACAATGTTTATAGCCATGTTTGATTGTTTGTCTGAGCCACAGAAGCAGCTACACAAATTATAGTTGTTCGGTCACTTTTGCGTTGATAATGATTGGTAAAAAAACAAGGAAGCTATACTCGAAAATATGAACACGAAAAAGTGATAGCCTTCCAGCGAAAATACAATCTCTAACCACTGAAAAGTTAACGAGAAAAGCGATTTTTTTCATAACGATAAGAAGAAAAATACCAAAACAACAACACAATATTAACAAGAGAGCTATGCTCAAATATATGGACACGTAGCGCCACCTAGTGGGAATAATTTTGATGACGTCATAGCGAAAAAAAGTAATAACCTTCTGGAGAAAAATTTTATTTTCAACCGCTGAAAATTGGTCAAGCAATTGGTTCAGTAATCGAAGGGAAAAGCGATTTTGTAAAAACGTGTCAAATAACAAGAACAACATAACAACAAAACGATCACTATGTCCACTACGTGTCCAAAATAGTCCGGCAGATAAGGGGACCTTTTTGGCCCAAGTTTGATTTCAGACATAAAGTTTTTTTTATTTGTGATTATTCATCTTGGGGTCATTGCCAATCATTTCTACATGGGTGTGGAGTTTGCAGCCTTGAGCAATTTTCTTTACGGCTCGATATTTGTATTTGTTTGTATTAGTGTTTTTCGTCAAACCTGTGCATCATAATGACGCACAACCTGAACCATAACCTGTTACAATACTATGTTCAGGTTGTGCGAAATCTTGGTGCACAAACTACGCGAGCACCAAATTTACTAGGAAATAAAATCCATAACTTTTAGGTATTTGTTGAGATATTGGTATTAGTGTTTTTCTTCAAACTTGTGCATCATAATGACGTACAACCTGAACCATAACCTGTTACAATACTTTGTTCAAGTTGTGCGCAATCTTGGTGCACAAACTACGCGAGCACCAAATTTACTAGAAAATAAAATCCATAACTTATAGGTATTTGTTGAGATATTGGTATTAGTGTTTTTCTTCAAACTTGTGCATCATAATGACGTACAACCTGAACCATAACCTGTTACAATACTTTGTTCAAGTTGTGCGCAATCTTTGTGCACAAACTACGCGAGCACCAAATTTACTAGGAAATAAAATCCATAAATTTTAGGTATTTGTTGAGATATTGGTATTAGTGTTTTTCTTCAAACTTGTGCATCATAATGACGTACAACCTGAACCCTAACCTGTTACAATACTTTGTTCAAGTTGTGCGCAATCTTGGTGCACAAACTACGAAAGCACCAAATTTACTAGGCAATAAAATCAGTAACTTTTATGTATTTGTTGAACCCAGCTTTGGGTCGCGACCCATATAGAGAAAAATACTGTTGAAACGTACGCGTAAAATAAAGAGTACTATTTCAAAATACCCTCTATTGTTGCAATTAACAATACGAGCCTGCTAATGCAGTCGCTAGTGGTTCAAGTGGATATACATCCGGTGGAGAACAGTCAATTATTTGTTAGCGAGAATTGTTATGCAGCGGGATGATCACGACGACGCATTGAAGATGATAATATCACGAGAACAAGAATGAGAAAATTGCTACATTTTATAGTATTTCCCTGGGAAAGAATGTAGTTCATTCTTATGTTCCATGCCAACTCTCAACACTTTTGCTTCTTCTCTTCTATAAAAATACATTGTTATTATATATTCGCATTTCCATCAGTTTGTTTGTGCTCCCAGATAACCGATCAGCGGCCTCCAAGGAGGACGGGGTCCCCTTTTAAGAAACCCTGTCATAAACTAAAAGAGGCGACCGTGCTTCTCTTGCCTGTTGTCATACTGTCCCTGGAATTCAGTTACAACAAAAAATTCACGAAAACGGTTTTTTAAATTTTATGATTTCATTTATATTCTCAACAATGAATGATATACGGGTGGTAAAATGCCAAGTTATTCCAACAACATGATCATGTTTTGCAATTTACAACCAATATTATGTATGTAACCTTGTTTGACAGAGCCCCAAGAGCTCTAACTACAAATATCAAAAATGTGAGGCCAAAAAGTCACACTACAACATTGTCAAATGTGCTGTATTCACGATAGATAACAGGTTTACCAAAAAGAATTACATGAAAAAAGGTAAAATAAAGATCAATTCAGCAATATCTACTTGGTGATATGCATCTGTTGATGCTTTTATGTGTTTGTTTCGGAAGTTTAATAACAGAATTAATTGTGGTTGTTGGGAATGTTTTAAAAAAAGGTTGCATTGAAAAAAGTTTCACAAAATGTCAAGGTTTGATAGTAGTAGAGAAGTGGAAAAAATACTCCCATGTTTTTTTCGTTTGATAACCACGCCACAGAACTTCTCCGATAAGTATTGCGAGCAATTGCTAGAGGCAGAAATGCCAAGATGGGATTTCAACGCATTGCAAACCAATATTAGCAATTCTTATATATATTCACGCATTCCCATCTGAACAGCGTGAAAAAGATTATACCTATCTACACACTTTAAGAACTATGTCAGATGAGCGTCATATTATCGAATATCAGTATAGGAGTACTGCAATGGGAAAAGACATATAAGACGGAACTTTCAGTAGTATGCAATCAAATAATCATATTGTCGAATATATATTTAAAAACATTTCGTCACGCCAACTGCAGTCCAAAACTTTTTGTCTCTGGCTGAGCTTAGATACCGATTGGCACTCATGTAAACTGGTAAGACTGT